TGCACGTGTCATATCTCCCACTCTCCCTGTAAGGGTTGAAGATTCAGCAGGTAAAGCTGCGATTGAGGTTTCATCACCAGGGCAGGATCCATCTGATGGTCTTGTAGAAATCACAGAGCCTGTGCGTCCTGAAGTGTCTGCAAATACTGCACACCTGCATGTCGAGGATGAGTCTGACCTTCAAGGAACTGTTGCACCTCCTTGCGGAACTGCCGCTGTGCAAGTGGGTGATGCTCTCCCTTCTGGGGCAGCTACTGATGTTGCAACCACGGTCCCCACCTCGTCGCCGCATCCCAGTGAGCTACTGCACCCTTTGGGAGAACTCCAGACACAGACTCCACATGAGGGTAACACTACAGCATCCAACCCTGTAACCAAGGGGTGTCCAACCTACGGCCTGGGGGCCATTTGCCACCCTCCATCCATTTTTCAGCGACCCATGACATGACAAAAAAAATTATATACTTAAAAAGATGTTTGACATGGGCAGCAATGTTGGTTAAAAAAGGTGAAGGTGGGCAGAATGAGAAGGGAGAGTGTCAGAAAAAGAAGTGACAGTAATATTAATAAATCTTTTTATATTCTGTAGAACTTTTCCCCATATTCGAAGATACAAATGGTTTATTTTGGATGAAAAGAATAACACATCTTCGAAACACTGCAGTGAATAAAGATGATTCAATTTTAGGGGCAAAAATAGTTTCTTCCACTTTGTGCCCTATGGCTGATGTATGAAGACATCACATTAATGATCCTCATGTAACTGATGGCCACTCTACTACAGTTTGTTCTTTTTTTTAGTTCTGAATGTGGGGGGTGGGATTCGGCTGCTGTTAAAGGCAGAGCTGGATCAATTCTTTGAGATAGACGGCTGTTGGCCACCCCAAAACCTTGGAAAAATCCTCAACTCTATGCTTGAACACCTTTAACAGAAAGCTGATGAAATTAACTCGACAATACAAACAATATATAATTGCTTTCTTGACTGACTTTAGCATCTGACAAAAAGTTGAAGAATTTTAAAGTGGCCCTTTTATCCTTCCATTTTTATGGATGTGGCCCTCAAACGAAAAGGTTTGGACACCCCTGCTGTAACCATTCTTCTCTATGGATCTCTCAGACCTCATATTAGTATTTATCTCAATGTATACAGCATACTAATTAGCGGCTGAACTTCCAAGGCATATGTGGGCTGGCTGTGCTAACTCTGCTCGCATTTTCATGCTTCCAACTTCATTGCTTGAGTGCTACTGGTTCAAATGATTCAACAGGTTTGTTGTACTGCCTTGTTGTGGATGACTTAAAACAGCTTCCTCCTCCACGTCACTCTGGAGATACCGCAAGGGGGGCGTAACTTTTCTTATCAAAATAGGTTCATCTTCAGAGTTCAAGGCTGTCCATCAGCTGTGCGTTTAGCTGTACGTTTGGTTATTTTGCAAATATTACTTTCTTTTTACTGCTTTTAATTATTTGCAGAATCTGTTGACTTCAGCTTGCAAATCAAAGTTAGGAGGCCTGCTGTCGTGCACATTTCCGTCATGTCTGACGGAGTAAATAAGCTCAGAGCAAGTCACAGAACACGAGGAATCATATAATCACCCAGCCCGATTGATATTGCCCTTCGACAGAGTGGGGTGTTGACTGACGCTCCGTAAAAGCAAAAAAAAAAATCTTGGTCTGTCTCTGTGGGGCCTGGTACCGGTCCCCGGACTGGTGTTGTTGAACCAGTGCTCTCGGAAGAGTTTCTTAAAATACGCCCTCTATAGAGGGTCAAAAATTGCTCCAAAGTCAAATCAAATTGATGGACTTCCTTTTAGTTTAAAGGCATGACTCTAACTAAAAAACTTTTTTTATAGATCCTGGGTACTTATAGTACATATGTCTCCCAATGTTCATGGATCTAGATTTTGTTTGCCCCCTATACATTTTGTTCAAAATGTATGGGGGGCAATAGAGGGCCATTTTTAAGAAACTGCACAATAAAGATCGAACATAAATGTTTTTGCCAGGCCGGATGTGTATGGAAAGTTTCAAACAATGTTCACCTAATGTAGGTTAAGACCAATGGTAAGCATCTTGGGTCCTTCTGAGCTGCTGTCCTGCCATCATATCATTAGATTTTTTGTTTTTATTTTTTTTCCTGTTGTTCCAGATGTTGAGATTGACTTCAAAATGTATCTATCGGGTTAACCGTCAAGGACAACGGGGCAAAAGTATGACGTCTGTGCATATATGGGCGAAAATATTACTTGCAAATACTCCTAACTCACTTCCTGTACATGTTAGGGTTTGGATGCCTAAATTTATTTATTTATTTTTATCTTCTGAAGGTGCTACACATGCCTCCCCCAAGTTTTCATAGCCAAAGGTCAAACTTCCCCCGGACAGGGCTCAGGACAGGCTGAAATGGCAAAACCTTTTTAATCATGAACAGGCTCAATTGTCACAGCCCAGAGTATATTCATAAGGAATGTTACAGAGGACCACGACATCTGATGTCATTGCACTCACCTGATATATTTGATAGAGAGCAGTGGAAGTAAAAGTATGTTTTACCTAATGTGGTATGCTCAACATCTTCTGTTGATGGGGATCTGGGGAGAGATTGCCGCTGATGATTTTGCTGGAGCTATTTGGTTAGGCAAGTATTATATGATTACAATAAGCATGCATTGGAAAGGGCTCATTGTGAATGACTTGGTCGCCTTGTTGAGACAGACACTGCTTTAATTGTCCCTAATATTGACAAACTATAATGCGTATAAAACACAACAAGTCACATTTCACAGTATATCTAGCAATACACTATATTCATGAGTTTGCTCAATGGGACCGATTCATAATTTGCTCTTAATTATTTTGCATACAACCAAGTAATAGAAATGTGTCCAAAACACACATGACTAAATTGAAGAAAAAAATCCCACAAGCAGAGTATATTTGTGAATAATTAACATTTGTACCCACCCCCTAAAAAAAAACATGGAAGGACAATGACACAGTCAATCAAGAAGAAGTTGAAGAAAAGAACAACACTCGTGTGACTACATTTCAATTGAGCTAGCTCGCAGTACAACACAATTGGACTATCATAATGTCTTCAAGCCCGATCCAATTACGAGACATGTTTTGCATTTATCGCGACTATGTCCTTGGCTTTTTGTGTACTGTGACTTAAACGAGCAAGTAGGGAACAACTTACTGACAGCAGGTACAGTAGCGGCTTGGCTTCGAAAGACTGGTGCGTCTAGTAGTATATGTCATTTGTGAGGGTCTTGTGACCATGGATAGCCTAATAACAATGGTTTAGTCATATTTATTTAAATTAGGTTCTTGACTTTTTTAAAGGGGGTGGCACAGTGCTTGACTCATTAGCGCGTCCGGCTCTCAGTACAGAGGCCATAGGTTCGTGTCCGCCCTCCTGTGTGAAGTTTGCATGTTCTCCCCATGGCCGTGTGGGTTTTCTCCGGGTACTCTGTTTTCTTTCCACATTCCAAAAACATTCATGGTAGGTGAATCGGACACTCTAAATTTTTTCAGTTATTTCACTTGGTTTTAAGTACGTAGCTCCACATTTGTTCAGTCATAGTTTTGCTGCCTTCGGTGAGGATCTACAATGAAAAAACAGTAGTCTGAAAATAAAGAAAACACATTGAATGAGGTGTGTCCAAACTTTTGGCTCACACACACACACACACACACACACACACACATACATTGTGATCAAGTGACCCACAAGCTCCCGCGTGCAGGGAAAATTGCATCGAATTTAAACACAACCCCGTGCTGTAGCATAAAGTGTGGAAAAATTTTTTTACTTGCCCCTGGGTGGCCATCCCCCAGTTTCAAAATGCTATAGGTGCCCCTTGCAATTTGTTTACTCAAAAAGAATATTGGGACAAAAGAAGAGGACTAGATACTAATACTAATTCATTTTATCCACTTTGCTTTCCTTTCCAGGATCAGCAACCATGGTACCTGCTGAGCCTGAAGATACTTTTGACAACACCCTGTACCGAAATTACGAACACCACAGCTACAGTACCTATACATTTGCAGACATGGATGTAGAGATGGCAAAGTATCGTCTCCCTCAGCCTACCTCTGGAAGACCCTCGCCTCGACACTAGGGGAGCTCAGCTGGACATACACACATACACACACGTTTAAATATATATATATATATATATATATATATATATACGTATATACATTTCTGTATATTGAATTTGTGTGGTCTTATGAGTTTGAGCACAAAGAAAAAAATAAAATGCCTCATTAAAGCTTGTCTTGATTGTAAATTCACATGCAGTATTTAACAAAATGTGTGGGTGTTTCTGTTTGCAATTTGTCCATCTGCTGTTTTGAGGGAGAAAAAGGACGCCCAATGGAGAAAAATGTCAGAAATATACTTGCATTAATGGCTGCCTTAAGTTTAGTTAAATTTAGCTGCAGAGAATTTTTTATTGTTTTTTCCAAACATTCAGGGATCATTGTCCTGTTTTACTCTTTGAGACAGTGGAACGGTTAGACATCAAGCAACCATCTCGAGTGCTTTAATTTAGTCCTTTCCAGAGACATTCTCCAAATGAAAAAAAACAAAACCGCATAGCCAGTTAATTCTGGGTTCTTCAAGTGTGTCCCACACGCCATAAAATGTTCGGTTAAAGAAAGCCATTTGTTGAAATGTGTCTGCCTGAGTATATTTCGAGTGATTGATTGTGGCCCAGAAAGTGGCTCAACTATTAATAGCTAATACCAAGCAACTAATTAATGTATATTTCCAATTTAGATCAGTGCTGTTTTTGTTTATTTGTGAATAGGCATCGACGGGAATATGTAAATCAACATCTAAACGTACTATATTGGAAACACACGGACAAACCAATCGGGTGGAGTCATTGGGCAGAATAAACCCGACAGTGCAGGGGCAGTCAAGAGTGCTGCACAACGTCATTGACCGCCCACCTTATAAATATTAATGTTCTAAACGTCCCTGCGTGCTCATACGTGATGACGCACAGCGACAACTGCGGGTCCCGATTGCTGCAGCCGCTTGTCAGTGTGACGAAGATTGGCACTCAGGTAAGCTGTCACTCAAAATCCCTCTTTTCCGTCCCTATCAATCAAACAATCTGCGCTCAACGCAAAAATGCCCCAGGGCGAGAAACGCGGATTCTGCTGGGGAAACAGATGCTTGATGAGGCAGAGCAGCATCGTGGAAAAATAAATGCTGTTCACAAGAGAAGGAGGCTGAAAAAACATGTCGCTGTTTAGACGAGGGTTGTGGAAAATCACACGGCTAACGCTCAAAACGAGGCCCGACAGCTGTAATGCTAGCGCGAAGGGGAGGGATAAGAAGGCGGCTGTCCTCCATGAATGGCTGTTGTCTGAAAGCTGTGGGCAACCTCAGTGTTGGTTCTTAAAACGTCGCTGAGTAAAATTATGCCAAATACAGTTTGTAATCATTCAATAAACCCAGAATTATTTTTCAGCGCCCAGTCATTTCACATCCTGTATCGCTACAAGATTTGCCGTACGCCTCCACTATCGTATATTCCTTAAGCGGAGTTCTGAATGTCGCAACAAAATAGTTTTTGCCAATGATCATTTAGGGTAATATGGCGGTTTGTATTTCAATCGTACCAGCAGGCCAGCCACTTATAAATAAAAGTTAGCTATTTTGCTAATGTTAGCCGAGGACTTGGCCCGTGTCACAGGCGAGCAACATAGAGAGTTAAAGAGAGAGGGTCTGCATATTCTAAGTATTTATTTGGTCGCTAAACATTATTACACTTGGCTTCGTCGAACATGGTCACGCTTTGCCGCCACAAACATAAATTGTTGCTGACACCGAGCTAAAAGCTAAGAGCGTTGTGGGTGTGTTAAAAGTAGTTCGAAGGTAACGCGATATTTGAAAGTGCAACGGAAAAGCGTGTCGTGTTGTATCTGTTGAGCTACATAGTGTTTCCGAGACACCAGTTATGCACTGTGGCGGCAAATATTTAAAAATATGTGTAACCCCTATCTTAATTTGATTTGACATCTAATGTTGTGTTTCAAAGTTTTCATTCATCTGAAATAAGGAAAAACAAATGGAACCCCCCAAAATACTATAATCCTAAACCCGGTTTTGTGTGTGTGTGTGTGTGTGTGTGTGTGTGTGTGTGTGTGTGTGTGTGTGTGTGTGTTCTCATCATACTACTCGTACTACTAATAATTTTTGCAAAAATAATAGGGACCTCGCTGCTGCTCGGGCCCAAATAAAAATAATTTGCAATAAGTCGTTTGGTTTACAAAGAATCATAACATTTAAATATACCCCCACCCCCCATATTGACATGTAATTGACGTTTTTTGTTTGTTTGTTTGTTTTTAAATAAAATTAAGTTTGTGTTTTGTATAGGTTGACTACCTATTGGCACAATCGATAATGCCTGAGTGTTTGCAGCATCTGCATTGAACGTGATGGCAGCCCATTCGGTTTCCATTGACAAATACTCCAAGGGAAAGCAACAGGTGGGTGAGCAAAACAGATGTTGGATTATCATACAGCACCTTTTCTGACACAAATGTATTTCATTTTGTTTAAATAGTAATAAGGTATATATGTTCACAAAATGTAAACCATTTAACTTGATTATTTCTTTGCTTCACCATGTGGTGCTGTCAGTGGATTTGTTTTGGACACTCGGTTGAATAGAGGGATGGGCTGTAGAGTGATCACCACCTGGTGGTGTGTTGGCTCTGATGGTGTGGGAAGACGCTAGTCCCACTTGGCAGACCCAAACGTAGTGTGAGGGTTTGCTGGGAACGTCTGGCAGAATCATGTCAGGAAGAGTTTCAACTCTCACCTCCGGCAGAACTTTGCCCACATCCTGGGGGAGGCATGGAACATTGAGTCTGAGTGGACCATGTTTCATCCCTCTATTGTTGAGGCGGTCGATCACATCGGTGGCTGTAAGGTGGTTGGTGGCTGTCATTGCAGCAATCCTCAAGCCCGCTGGTGCACACTGACGGTCAGGTATCCCGAAAAATGGAAGAGGAGTCCTATCTGCCTTTTTAGCCTGTGGGACTCCGGAGGCAACTGACAGAAACCTAAATGCACCATATTGGAAACACAATAAGTACTTTAGGCAACACAACCCATGACCGTGGTTGGAGCACATCAAGGCCCAGTTCCAGCTGAAAGGAATGCCACTCCCGAGACACCTGCGTTAATAAACGAGTCTGTGTCCAGGGAACCCGCCACATCCATGTGAATGTCTTATGCCTCTTCCACTCTTTACCTTGAAAGGATTGAAGTAGTTCACCGCAGTTCTTGTGAATGGTGGCTCATCTGGGAAGACTCTCTCCTGTGGTAGGTCAGACATCTGCTGTTGTACCAGTAGTACCGTGTAGCTGCCTGCAGACGACACATCCGTACAGAACTCTTTTGACGGCCGCATTTGCACTGGGAATACAGAATTTTTGACGTATCTTGGAAAGACCATGGTTGTGGATTTCTGGTTAAAATGAGCTCTGACATTTGAAGGTCCTTATTCAAAGAGGACAGGGTGTTTAGCCTCCTCTGGCATGGCTGCTCTCATAAGCCTTACTCCAACTCTCAGGATTCCCTCCCTCTTGAAGAATTGAGTTGTTTTATATGCTACTTCTCGTTTTCTTTTTGTAGGTTGCTATCATTTTGAAGCTGCCGTTAGCCAACATCAGCTGGTCCAATGTTTGCACAGAGTTCCCTTCTTTTTCTTGCCAGACAGAGCAATGTGATCTTTAATTTGCAAATATCCAAGCAACTGCCCTGTTGGCTTGGAATGTACGGAATCTTGTGGTTTGGTTGTTAATGTACCATAGCACGCCTGTGCTATCTGTCCAGAACACAGTCCTTGACCTGTAATTGTCTCCTCAACATTCTCTGTGCCCTGGCACAGTTAATCCCAGGCGTGAAATTGTGGTCGGCTTGAGAGGATCGTCTCTGGCCTTTCCAATGACAAATGAGCAAAAACTGATTCTCCAAATTGCACTGGATTGAAACATGTCGAATTCAAACTTGACAAGCAGTTCTGGAACGTTCATCTATTTGAACCATTGTCTGGAACTGCGACATAACAGCTCAACTTTAGTCTACACAGCTCTTGTAAATTCCAGTTTGGAGGTAGAGAACCACTGGTGCGAACATTCACAGCGGATCATAAATGCAATTCACAAAGAAGAGGATGTTTTGTCTGGTGAGACATTTATCTTGAATGATGAAAATCAGTCATGGCTTTCGCCCATATACGCTGTTTTATCTAGTTTGGTAGTAATCCACTTGAGTCGGTTCATGTTTTTAAAATGCTTTAATCACGGACAAAAGAGACAATAAACATGCATTAAGCTATTTACTGTGTGTCTCCACGAAGGCTGCAGCGAGCCGCAGTCGCTGTTCGGGCCCTAATAATTTCTACAAAAACAATAGGGGCCTCGCAGCAGTCACTGTTGGGGCCCTAAATATATATATATTTTTTTTTGCTTGGTTAAAGATACAAAAGACCAAAAAAAAATTCCACGTGATAAGTACCGACTGTTTTTTATTTTTAGATAATCAACATATACTTAAATTTAAACTGTGCATAGCAGTACACTATCTATTTCTAGATACATCACTGGAAATTTAGATAAGTCTGTCACCATAAATTTGGGTCTGAGACAAAGTGACGTCAGAAGCATAGCTGCAAATTTGCTGGCTAAAACAACACGCTAGTGGAAGGCTGATTTATTAAAAAGTCATATATATATAAAATGAATTAAATTAATGACATAAAGATGTTATTTAAACACCAAGCTAAAAAGATGTGCCTCCCCCTTAAAAACGTTGACAGTCTCTGAAGACCTGATGTTCTCTGGCAGGCTTTTCCATAGCTGGGGACCAAAATGGCTGAATGCAGCCTCACCATGTGTTTTGGTCCTCACCCTGAGAATAATTATAAAAGGCCAGTGCCAGAGGACCTCATCATCCGCGACATCTGATATGATAAAAGCAGGTCAGATAAGTAAGATGACTCGAGACCGTTAAGACATTTAAAAACTAATAAGAGCACTTTAAACTCAATCTTAAAACACACAAGGAGCCAATGCAGCGATTTTTAACACTGGTGTAAGGTGTTCCCGCCCTCTGGTCCTTGTCAAGACTCGTGCGGCCAAAATTTGGAGGATTTGTAACCTTAGAATAACTCTTTTTTTTTTTTTTTTTTTTTTTTTTTTTATATAAACAAGACCAGAGAGCAGGGCATTACAGTAATCTAAGCGGCAGGAAATAAAAGCATGCATCTGCACTTCCATGTTGGCCTGAGAGAGAGAAATGGGCGGACTCTGGCTATGTTCTTGAGATGATAAAAAACAATCTTTGTAATGTTTTTAACATGAGAGACGTTCTGTTTCTCATGTTAAAAACTCAGAATCAAAGATGACGCCCAAGTTCTTCACAGTTAAGTCAGCTGTTAACGCCGCGACACGCTGCCGGTAACAACTTCAAAATAAAAGCTTTTTTTGGGGGGGTTGGGGGTACGTGGCATTAACATGCTTCTGTAACACCTACCAGTGGGACAGTAAAGTAATAACTCAAACTTTACTCTTTGCACAAGTCATCTTTCTTTTGGTTGAGCTGAAAGGTCCGGACCCTGTTGTTGTCCGGACCTGCTTTCATACCTTGTGGTGACAGCTGACAATTTTAACATGTAAAACCATCTATGGCTACGACTGAATCTACATGAACAGAACAGTTACCATGCTTCTCGGTTTATACTGTATAACTGCATTTCTGTCTTTGTGCAGCTGTGCATTGGAGGAACGGATTTGAGGCATGCATCGACAGCTTTCAACTACCACAGAGCAAGAATCCCTCACAACACTCCGTCACAATGAACAAATGTTAGGATACTTTAAATTCATCATAGCTATTCTTATCTCGGAAGGGGCATTTACAGTCACACTCTACTGCAGGGGTACCCAACCTTTTTTGACCAAAGATCTACTTTTCGATCAACCAACCTCCCACGATCGACTCGTTACCACACACGCGTGTATATGCAGGCACTTACATACACATGCCCTAATGAGCAATAGCCATAACGGCCCCTAAGATGAAACAAACAGAAAAATAAAGTAGACACAAAAGTTTTTGAAAAGCAAATCACTGCCTACCTTAGTAGAGACCTGACGCAGAGGCATGGGACGCACTTTTGCAGCGTGTGAATGATCGTAGCTCACGTGTACCGTTTTAAAATGCTTCTCCTGGCACTGGAGATTCCCATTTTTGCCCGTGCCCTCTGTGAATTGAACATGAAACAAATTCTCAATGACAATAATAATAATAACGATAGAGCGCAACAGCACTGATTGCAAGCTGCAATTCCAGACTGCTGACTGCGAACAACTTTCGGTGATGCAGGTCACAGATAGGATGCCAAGAGTGCAGTGTGCACCAACACAAAAATATATCATATTAACACGCACACAGACCCACAAATGTTTTGTTTTTGTTTTTTCCCCCTCTACACCCGTGCTCTACTGTATATGTGTTGCATGCAACACAAAGAACAATATCTAGCACACAGGTGTCAAAGTCAAGGCCCGGGGGCCAGATCTGGCCCGCCACATCATTTTATGTGGCCCGCGAAAGCAAATCAAGCATGTCAAGTTCCATGATGCTTGCTAAAGTCAGAACCAAAATTTCATATTGTCACATGTAATCCACAATAAAGGTTATTATTTTTTACTTCTAATTTTAAAAGTAGTTATTCATCAATTTGTTCTGCGCTGTGAATGTAATATGTGGAGGGGATGAAACATTTATATGAGTTCCCATAATTCATAACGGCCCTCCAAAGGAAACCGTAACTACAATGTGGCCCACGACAAAAATGAGTTTGACACCCCTGATCTAGCATTACTAACAGCACTTAACAGAGTACTAAATAATTATGCAAATGAGATGAAGTCACAAACATTTCATTACTATCTTGTCCGTTTATATCACTTACATGAATTTATAACATGTACAGTTAAGTCTCCAACTCGACCCAAATAAAAGCCCCACTTGCAGTTTTTGTCCAAGATTGCCATGCAAGTACGTATCATTATAAATATGCTAGCATTAGCATTCGCCACAAAGGGAATGCATGGTTAACACAAAAGAAAACGGCATGCTTACACCTCCATAGTTATGAATATAATTTGAATGTGAACATTTTGAAGCCTTTGTCTCATGAAGCAGCTGAGGTGGATGGATTGGCTTTTATGTTACGACATACGTCATTGAGCAAAAGCAGAGCCAAGAATAGCAGTGATCTTGCCAAGAATGTAGCCAATTTGTGGGAGGAGGCGGGACGGAAATAAATGGGCCGCTTTTGACAGTTGAACCGGAATCCTTTGGCATATACCCCATTATCAACACCATTTTTCCAGTTTTCATTTTGTTTTGATTCTCTTTTATCTTCATCTCTGACTTGTTTTGCCGAATATAGAACTTGGTTGCACAAAACCCTGATTACCCAAAAAACAATTGGTGGTTCGTGAAATTGCAGAGTGACTAGTAATTCTGGGAAACCTAAAGCCACCATGGCTGGTGATGTAGAAAGTCAAAGTCAAGCCCTGTGTACTGAGTAATTAAAAAAAGTCAATTTTACAAATTTCTTTTAAATCGTCGGACAAAGATTCAGTCCAGGCCACCCACATGGTATGTCACGTTCACAATTTATATTATTCACAATTTATATTATTTATTGATGCAAATATTGGCGTCTGAGTGTTTTATATGTCATGAAATTGAAAGTGACATCCCATGTGTCACTTGAAATCTGCACATACTGAAAATAGAAAAGTGGCACATATTTTGCAGTGTTAATCCAGCCAAAGTTGTATATTAGTTGCTGTTGTCAATACCTGAAAATAAGAGCTGAACTGTTGGTCTCTTGTCAACTGTTCATCTTTTTCTCGTCAAAGCCAAATATTTTAGAAGTAGTAGCCACATTGTGTCAACGTGAGTCTTCACAAGGGCCATAGTAAAGCAAGGCTCTGTTTGTGACTTTGCCCTCTGGCTCCCCTTGGTCCCTTGGCCCTTCACATGATGTGATCGTGAAACCCCAGCTCAAAACCTTTCACATTTTCTGTCGGTTTCTGTGTGTTGCCCTCTGTTTGTGTCTTGTTGCAGTGATTTTAAATAGTTGATCTTTATTTATCTTCAGCAGATGCAAGGAGTAGCCAAGTTAGAGAGTGATACAGAAGACAAGTTTGAGGGGATGTTAGCAGAGGCACCCAGCCCGACACTCACAGATCCACAGACGCCCATGGACGTGGACAAAGCCTCCATATATCGGTACAACGAAGTCTCTGTGTCTGATTTCTGAAGTGTGTGTGTGTGTGTGTGTGTGTGTGTGTGTGTGTGTGTGTGTGTGTGTGTGTGTGTGTGTGTGTGTTTTTTTTTTATTTCTTCT